CCCCCAATCTCGCAACAACTCTTCTCTGATAATGTGTGCACTGAGGGAAGGACAATAATCCCTCCCTTCCAGCAACCTGTATACAAAATATGATTCATTCAATTTCCAATGAACAAAAGCAAGTCTGGCCCTACATTTTTTTTTCTTTCTTTTTTAAGAAGCCGTTTCTCTCAAATACATACCTCACAATAGGGAAGAATGAATGATCGCACCTTCCATTTCATGCTGACTTTAACTTATTTAATATTACATTTTCATTCAAGATTTTCAGTCTCCTGTTTAGTGATATACAAGTTTTACTTTACCCTTCATGCCTTTTGTATTGGGAAAAACATGACATTTAATATAGACCTGTAAATTAAACATGCGGTTTTGTGTTATTTTCAGGTTCCTGCAACATAGGGGAAGGAGTCACATACCTCCAACATCGATCGTGTATCTGTTCAAGAGTTCATTTCATTTCATTTTTATAATAAGATTGTGTGTTCTGTCATGGACGACTAGACACCCGTCATGGGATGTCCAGCAGAGAGAAAGACTTGAATGGACACAACCTGTGGTTACATTTTTATGTTGGATTTCACACTGATTATTTGTTAAGGTCCAAAGAAACCACCATTTGTCATTTAAAAATGTGTTTAGGTCAGTGTAGCTGTGGTGTATTTCTTAGTGATCCAGGATGAGCTTCAAGAGCTGCCGTGGAGGAATCTCATCAGATTCATCTTGTTCATCCAAACAAGCTTTGTTTGTTTGTGGCTTGTTTTATGCATCACATTATGTTCATGCAGTTTTAGTTCACTGCACGTGTCACCATTTCTGTGAAGACCCTTGTTGTGTAATCGAGTCATCTTGTAAGGACATGAATCATGATTGATGAGGAATTTTTTTTCGTAAGGTTAGATGTTTGTGTAATCTTATTTGTCTTGCTCACACAGTTCATCTTCTGCAAGCACACAGGGTATTCAAGCCTTTCTCTCCTCTGGACATCCCTTTCCCCAGTTTTTTGTTAAATGGAAATTATACAAAACAGTGCATTCCTGAGGGGTTTGTGTCGCAATAGCGCCCCTGCAGATTTACAGTATGATAATTCATCTGAACTCTTTCGTATATCCACGTATGCTAAGTTCCCCACCACTGCTCTGGTGACGGAGCGGAGTCTCGCTCGAGCAGGCTTTTATTACACCGGAGTGGGCGACCGTGTCCAGTGTTTCCGCTGCAATATGACGGCTGACAACTGGCAGTCCGGTGACTGCCCTGCCGAGCGCCACAAACAGCTGTCTCCCAACTGCAGCTTCATCCAGAGTTTACCTGCCACCGCAAACCTCCTGTCGTCCTCCCACTCAGCCTTTTCCCCACTTCGCAACATAGCCGTCCTGCAGCTGTCCGCCCCTGCAACCGCAGGAGCGTCGACCACTGCGGCATCTGTTTCTGGCCAGACAGAGGAGCAGGTGGGTTACCTAAACATGGGATTCACCAACCTGGCACCCTCCAGTCCCATTTCCTCCCGTGGAGTGGAGGATATGTCTCACCAGCGACCACCGGCTTTTCATAATCCCAGTATGCGTCGGGAACAGGAGCGCCTTGACACGTTTCAGAATTGGACTCTTGCTACTGTAACTCCAGCTGAGCTTGCCAAAGCTGGTTTCTATTACCTTGGCCAGGGCGACAGGGTGGCTTGCTTCAGTTGTGGCGGCCAGCTCAACAACTGGGAACCAGGAGACCGGGCGGTATCTGAGCACCTGAGGCATTACCCCAACTGCCGCTTTGTTCGAGGCGACCGTGCAGATAACATACCGTTATCTGGTGGCGGCCTTTCCAATGTATCCAACTCGGCAATGCAACAGTGTGAAGAAAGGCTGCTTACGTTTGTCAACTGGCCCTCGAGAATACCTGTTCGACCAGACCAATTGGCTAAAGCTGGTTTTTACTATGTTGGTAAGAGTTTTGATGATATTACAAGTCATTCAATGTATAACATTTGTGGTTAGATCCCCATGCTTACTATTATTTCTTTGTTTGTTTCGGTAGGTCGTAACGATGATGTGAAGTGCTTTTGTTGTGATGGTGGACTCAGATGTTGGGAATCTGGTGATGATCCATGGGTAGAACATGCTAAGTGGTTTCCAAGGTAAATAAAAGTGGCATCATTTTCTGTCCCATGATGACATTATGTGAATATTAATTATGCATGCATGTTCTTCTAGATGTGAATACTTGTTGCAAGAAAAGGGCCAAGAATTTGTTCATCAGATTCAAGCAAGATTTCCAAGACTATTTGAACAGGTTTGTTAAAAATAATTTGCTATTCAAACAATACGATGCACCCTGATGGATATCTTAACCTAGTTTACATGTTTTACAGCTCTTGACTAATGGAGACAGCAACTCGAGAGAATTTATTGATCCACCTGGTAAGTTTTCTATTGTGTTGACCTACATGTGATACTAATTTCCACATCTTTTATCATTGATAATGTCCTTTAAAGGTGACCTATTATGCCCCTTTTTACAAGCTGTAAAATAAACCTCTGATGTCCCCAGAGTGTGTATGTGAAGTTTTATCTCAAAATACCCCACATATAATGTTTTATAGCTTGTTGAAATGGCAACTTTTAGGGTATGAGCAAAAATGCATGATTTTTGTGTTTGTGTTTGTCCCTTTAAATGCAAATGAGCGGGTGCTCCCACCTCCCTTTTCAGAAGAGGGCGGAGCTTCAAGAGCTCTCCGGCATACAGGCAACAACAAAACAGGACAATATCACACAATCTGACTGTACTGTGCATAGTAAATGCACGTTTATGAATTACAGACAGGGAGCACGGCGCAAAAAAAAATAACGACATAGCTGGTCTCATGGTGCTATCACATTATGAGCTCGACAAATTCAAGCGGTCGATTTCACATTGCTTTCATATGCAATTTTTAACTACCACATTCCTATTTACGATCATTCTGGTAGCACGTGAAGGCAGCATCAGTTTGTCTGGAGCTGACGTTCGCGCACGAAGCGTTGGTATCGATCCCTCTTTCAGAATCAATCTTTGCACAACTCCAGCTCTGAACTGACCCTCGTTTGTGAGGCCGTCTGGCGTAAAATGATTTGCACAAACATATCTTACTTTTCCGGGGGTTTTTTCCTGGGACATTTCCTTCGAAAATGAAATTTAACCACCGTCTCCTCAGCGGTCTATGGAGACTCCTGTGTTCGTTGGTGCATCCAAGCACACGACACTTGTGATGCCTCTTTGTCGCTGACATTGTATCTCCAGCAGCTACAGCAAGAAAACAGTAATGGTGGACTGCTGCTTCTCACTCAGGCCGGTGTCTATGCTAATAGGGCAGAGAGTGTCACAATTGGCAGGACTTTCGCTAATATGACGTCATTATAGGGAGAAATCTGGAACCACTGGTTTGGAGAGACTGTTTATGATTTATTGTGATTATTAAAAAAAAACTAGTGGGTGGATTTTTACGATTATAGGCTGGTTGTTTTCACACACTGCGGCCACACAATTGTGTTCAAACACCTTATAAAAGTGATTTTTGCATAATGGGTCACCTTTAAATTTAGTTAGTATTCCATGTCAAGTTTTGTATTCATTAATTTTAGTCAAGTTTACGCTGACTAAAGTAGATTAAATATGATTTTTTATTTTTTTTTTTACCCATGTGAAGTTGTACACCTGGGTCCTGGAGAAGACCGTTCAGAAGATGCAGTGATGATGAACAATCCCGTGGTAAAGTCTGCTTTAGAGATGGGATTTGAGCGTAGCCTGGTGAAGCAAACAGTCCAGAGCAAAATTCTTACAAGTGGAGAGAATTACAAAACTGTTCAAGAATTGGTGTCTGATTTACTAAGTGCAGAAGATGAGAAGAGAGAGGAGGAGCGAGAGCTTCTTGCAGAGGAGATGGCCTCAGGTATTTCTACAGAATGTATCTTCTACCAGCTGTCTAATGATTCAAGATTTGGACTTGACTGAATCCAACACTTGTTTTTTTGCAGATGGTTTTACTTTCCTTAAGAAACATCATGCTGCCTTGACACAGCGTCTAAAAAGCGTCCAGAGCTTAATGGATCATCTTCTGGAGGAGAACGTCATTTCACAGAAAGAGTATGACACTATTCGTAACTGCACTTCAGTCAAGCAGCAGACAGGGCAGCTCATTGATTTAGTCCTGTTGAAAGGAAATGCCGCAGCAGAGGTTTTCCGCAACTGGATCAAGAAGAATGATGTGTACCTGCTGAGAGAACTGATGGGTATGTAATATATGAATCAGATATGAGATAAAGTGTCTGTAAATTTTCAGTGTTACATGTTGTTAGTCTGTGTCAGTGTAAAATTGCACGGCCAGTAGATAGGAACACTTGAACCATTAAAAAAAAGGTGATGCCTTTTGTAAAGATCCTAAGAAGAGCAGGGACAAATCCACAGCAAACATAATCGCTACATAATATTGACAACCAATTTTTATTTTTTGTTCTTACTGCAATTTCAGCCCAGACAAATGAAGCTGCATCACCGAGTCAAGATCTTTCAGGTATATTCAAACATGAGAAAAGGTTTTCTTTTGATTTTGCCCCTTTTTATCTCTAGCCATCACACTAAGGGAATCAGTTAGATCCCACTCTGAAACAAAGAGTTTATATAAAGTGATTGACTGTGTCCATCATGTTCACAGACTTGCCTATGGAGGAACAGTTGAGAAGACTTCAAGAGGAGCGCACATGCAAAGTTTGCATGGACAAGGAGGTCAACATTGTCTTCATCCCCTGTGGTCACCTAGTGGTATGCAAAGAGTGTGCACCTTCTTTACGCAAGTGCCCCATATGTAGAGGATTGGTTAAAGGCACTGTCCATACTTTCCTATCATAAAATGAATAGTTATCCATTGATAAGTAACAAAATAAGTGACTGGATTTACAAATTGTATTCTTTAATTAAAATTCACAATGTGAATAAAAATTCAACGTGTTTCTGAATTAAATTAAACCGTGAAACTGAACAAATGTCCGATTTCTTGATCTTTTAAAAAATTTTTTACAGATGTATGTACAGAAATATTTCCATTTCAAGTTTTGCACACAATTTCTTCACACTTAACACTAACAGCATATGTTGAATTTTATTTCAGATTAAAAACATTTACTGCATATATATATATATATAGTTATATTTAGTGTTTTAACAGTTCAAGTAATTCATAATCATGCTCAGTAATTTACATGTAAACAGTAGAAGAGAAAAAGGAAAAATTATTTTGTCCCACTTTGACTTTTACTCTAAGCTTTACATACAATTTCACAACTGTCTCCATTTGCTTCACAATCTGTGCCACCTGTAAAAAATAAATTATACTTGTCACCACTTGACTTTTCTCATTATCCAAGGTTAATGTAATATTTAGAAAGACTAGTCTTTCTAATTACCTGAATGACATCTTCCTCTGCAACCTCATAAATGAGTTTAGTATAGTTAAGTATAAAAAAGCCTCCTCGAGAGGGTCGAATCTGATTTCTGTGCCTACTGCCTGAACAAAAACATATTCAACATATATATTCACATTTCACATTTAAAAGTGAAAATGCTGTAATATGAAGTTGGTCATACCCGATCTGATTGGAGGATGTTGATGTGATGTGATGTGGGAACTCCAGGAAATGCTGCCTCCAATCTATGCTGGATGTTGTTGGTTGCTAATTTGACAATGTCAGCAGCAGAACCCTGCATGGTTGTGTTCACTGCCTGTCGCTCTGCCTAAAAATGAGGATCAAAATGAAACTCTTATTCCACTCCAGATATATTCTAATGGAGGGCTCATGAAGACTTACGTGAGACTTTATGTACACATTTGTCTTTTATTCCAGGTAAATATGAAATTTTTTCCCTGCTGAGTAATGTCTGCTCATAACAAATTCCTGCCAAGTAATGTCTGCACATAACCATTTTCCCCATACTTCTGCACAGTTTCATGCAGAATGTTCTGAATGCCTTAAAGAAAAATATAAAATGATACTGTTATTATTTCAGGATTTTTTTTTTGGACCAGACAGCAATTGTAAAATGTAATTTACCCGTGTATCTGGATTTAAATGTTTCAATGTAGCAGGCAGCATCATTCTCCTCAACGCCCATTTGTTCTCCAAGAGACTTTGCTCCCATGCCATAGATTATTCCATAACAAATCTATTGACAAAATGTTAAAAATTCAATTTAAAGAGTTTCAAGGGATAATATAAGTGACTACCATATAGTTGTTTACATAAAAAAATACTTTTTAAAGATAAAAAAAAAATATTTTTCTCATTGGGGTAGTAGCTTCAAACAGAGGATAAGTTTAAAGACTGGATAATATCTGGATATTACATTTTCTTATATGTACTGTATATTAGGATACTAATACATATAGGAAGCAAAATTTCTCTAAAGTCTTACGTTTTTTGAATTTTCCACCTATAACTGTCTCAGGTTGCAGTGAGGTGTTGTCTATCTTCTCACAGGCAAGAGCAAGATCAAATCTGTCCTTTGTTTTCCACTCCTTTATAAATGTATGGAAAAGTTTTTTATCGCTTACCACATCAATTATGGAGAATGTTTCTGGACTGCAGGTGTTTGAAGCAGGAAATTATTGACTCTGATAAAGCCTCGTAAAGCCCTCATCAGCCAGAGACATGTCTAACTCTGATGCTGTGTTTGTCCTCAAACAAGACTGATATTCTTTCTGCGTACTGGTTTTAGAAATTGGATCCAGTTCAGACCTGTGCTTGGTGACATTAAGAGGTGATTGTATAGCTGAGGTGGTAATTTTAACCCGAATTTGCCTGCCCTGGAACCTCAGATAGGGTTGAAAACTGATCAGACCATTTATCAAAAATGTCCTGCATTCCTGGGCTGATGTGAAACGGTGAACTGTTTAATTGGCGTCTTTCAGCTGAAACGCATGAATGAGGCTCATTGCTTTGTGATGCATGTAGTTCAGACACAATGTCATCTGTATAACTGGGCTTCTCTGCACCCAATCTTGGGCCATCACAAGCCTTGATAACATTATTCATTTTATCAAGGCACTACTCTCCAATAAGTAGTGAATTTCCCCATTCTGAAAGGTTGAAAGATGATTCACCCCATTGGATTGCTTCCTGATCCTCTGTTGACACGGCATCTCTTCTCTCCGGAATGAGTTCTGGAGAAGAGCCGTTTGAATTAGCATGTGCTTCAACCACCTGCTCTTCTTTGCTGTCTAAATTCATTGCTGCCTCCTCCATGGCATCCAAGATGGAGTTGTCATAGAGACTGTCAAACAGAAAACTGCTGCTCCGATTGAAGCTGTTGTCAGTAACATGATCAGAGGACTCGTGATTTTCCCTTTGCTCAGCTGGTTTAGTTGCACTTGATTCTTCTTCAGTAACCTAGTTACTGTAATTTTAAATATTCTCCAACTGGCTGTCAGTACATGAGATGTTATATTTCGGTTTGAATTCAGTGGCCGGGCCATTCTTATGAGGTGATAAACCTTCAACCGGGTCTTTGTTTTGGTCTTTAGATGTCTTATTCTCATTTTCCAAGAAAGATGACTGCTTGACAACTTTCATCTCACTTTCTGAATCATCATGATTGTTCTGTTTATTTTCTTTGAGAACGTTTAAATTACCACGGCCATATGAAAAATCATCCCCTTGAAGCATTTTCTCAGTCTGTGTATCAAGTTGAAAACTATCACCAAACTCCTCTAATCCATTTCTGTACAAGTCCGGAGAGCTAAGATTCTCAGAATGACATATGCCATGTTTAACTCTGGTGTTCACCTTTAAGCCACCTTCATTCTCATCTCTGCTGCTGAATTTCCTGAAACTGTGAGTAATCGTTTCTCGCTTTTCATTTTGAGTTTCATGGTAAACTTCTTTTATACTGTGATTTAAATATTTAATTTTAGATGTGGACTTTTTCGCAGTGACATTTGGGGTTTTCCCATCCTTTAGTGAAGCACACGAGTGAAAAAATGTTTTTGACTCAATGACTTGGTTCAGTCCAGCAATGGATGACTGGAGATTCATCTTGTCTATTCTACAGTCAGTTTCAGGTATATTTAAGCAAAGCTCTTCAACTTTTGATATTAGTTTTGGGCCTTTTGAGATTAGAGCTGGTGTTTTTGCTTCACTGACTGTGGGTTTTGCATCAGCATCCACAAAATCCATCCTTCTACGTTTCAAAACTGGACTTACACAATGATGGCCATTGCTAGAGTTGCAGGTACTTGTTATACAGGAATTGTGTCCTAATTTCCTTTGAAATGATTTTGAAGAACAATCTGGTGACTCAGCTGTTTGGTTATTTTTACAGCCCTTGTCTTTTGCATATATTGATTTTATAACTTTATGCAGTGTACTTGATTGCTGTTCACATTTCTTAGCAGGCTGACAGTCAACATCCATTGGCTTTTCTGAATTAGTAGTGATCTCTAATGGCCTCAAACGAGGATGGAAACAACTGTCAGCATGTGTATCCACCAATAACTTCTGTTCGTCCACATTAGCAGTTACATTTTGTCTCTCTTCATGTTCTGGGCCCCTTGACATAGACTAGAATTTTTTTGTTGGCTGATTCCTCAGGTGAATAGGAATCTGGCTAGGTCTTTGTTGAGAGGAATGCTGGGTTCCATTCCACCCCAAGAAGTGCCAAATCCTGCTGGAGGAGCAGCTGGGCCTCAGCCACGATTTGCTGAGCATGCTCTTATGTTCTTGAGCCTCTACCTCACTCTCATCCACTGCCTGCCTGGAGTTGTGGAGATTCAAATGATCACAGTATGACTTGAAATAATCTATGGATGACCCAATATTCAAATTCTGTCCATAACAATAAACCATTATGGATGGTAACCATAATACAAACTAAATTAATGCCCAACTAAATTAAAAATAAAACACAAATAAATCAGTCATTTTAAATGCTACAAGTGAATATATGCACCACAACATTGTAATACAGTAGGAAACATGGAACATTTATTTTGAGTTACTAAAGATTGTTTATTGATTATTTTAAAATATGAACTTAAAATAACAGTTCGACAACTGCAAGGGTGATTTAAATGTAAAAAAAAAATTTTTTTTTTAACTCAACTGAAATCAATCATTTAAAAACTCTGTAATATCGGCCGATAACTGATATATCACAAATGACCACATTCATCAATAATGAAATGCTTATCAAACATAAGAACAACATGAAATAAACGTTTTAAGCTGATCATCTCCCTGTTTCATTACCTTTTGAAAGGGATAGCTTTCCTGAGGGCCTTCTCCACCTCTGTAACTTCAGCTCTGGCAACCTCTCTGTGACAAACCCAGAGCTGTAGAGTGTACGTGCTCTCTGGGCGTTTAGTAAAGAAATACGAACCAGATCACACAACTCCCTCTGGACTCCAAAACTCAGACGACTCTGGAACTGGGACAGAAGCAGCTCTAGGTTGTGCCATTCAAGTAGATTACAGAATACTGTAACCATACCTGAAAAAAAAAAGTGTTGCCAAATTTTTATTTCTGGCATTGTTTATCTCATATTGATAAGTAAGCCCATGCCTACAGTATGAAGAGATATCTACCTGCATATGTTGAGGCAGACTGCTGAAGTGACTGAAGCTGTCCTCGACTACAGCCATACTTCTTTGCTACAGCTCCAAGTGGTTCTTCGCTTACCAGGTCATGGAGAACTAATGTTGTGAAAAAACTGCACAAAAAAAAAAATACACATCAACATACTGCTACTTAAATGTAAACATTAATTAAAGCACTCTATATTCAGAAAATACATGGTACCATTTGTGAATGGCCATCTGCGTTGCTTTTCCTGGAGTGAGCCAGGAAACCTTCTTGGATGCCCACCATCTCAAGCCACCCGTTTCATTGCAGATGGTAGTTGCTACCAAAGACAGAAGAACTGGTACCAGTCTATTGTATTCCAGTCCACATACACAGGTGTTATTTTAAAAATGCATAACACAATTTT